ATAATAATAATAATAATAATAATAATAATAATAATAATAATAATAATGAGATAAAGATAATGTTTATAGGCACTTTTATGGACACTCAAGTCACCATACATTGGTTAAAAACTATACAACACATACAATAATAATCAAAGTGATCATAAAACAAAAAATAAAAAATCTGGATAAATTACACACAATAAATCAAATCATAGGGAACATGTAGGTTTGGAGTTTGGATTTTAAGTCTGTGAGTAAAGTAATGGAGGTTTCTTTGTATAATTTTATTTGCATAAAACTATCACAGAAAATACAAAGCAAAGCAAAAAAAAAACAACAGATAAAGATCGAAACGTTTTATTTCGAAAGAGCACGTGTGTCACCGGAAGTGTTTGTAACGATAATGCAACTTTTTTCCAAGCAGAACAAAACACATGTGATCTCTTCTCCGATTGGCTCGCATCCTGTGCCGTCAATCATTGATAGTGTCGCAAAGTGTTTACATTTTCATCATATGTACGACAGAGGACATGTTTTACAAAAACACTTGCCGAAACAAAGTATAGTTTAATCAACATCAAAGGCTCAGTTTTATGTATTTTATGTAATTAAATAATAAAATGTGTAATTTATGTCAAAGTACTTAACAAACCACACACACTTACCTGTGCCTGTCTATTCCTTTGACTCGACCCGGAAATTCGTTTTTCAGTGTCATTTTTCAAATAAAAAAAAATTAACTGGTTATAAACCTATACCACCTAAACCTATAAACCCTTATTTTCGAACCCCGAGAGCATCCTTGGTGGTTTCCTGTTGATCCTTTATCCTGAATTCAGCAGAATTTGTACTTAAAAATAACAAAAACATTCCCACAGAGACAGTCTTCGAGGGAAAAAGTCAATTTTAATAAAAATGACCATATAACATTTATTAAAATCTAATAAAATTACAGTTTTTAATCGTCTACTCATGGGGCCGGTGGTGTGGGGTACCAGGTCCCTTCACTGAAAATAAATACATCTCATCACGATCGTGGACTGAGGCTGCAGGCGTCCCGGTAACTTCCTCCCTTTACAGACCCGTCGACCATCACTCGAGCAGTTTGTCACAGTGAAGCAGAACGAAACGCAATCGCACACATTCGACAGCAGAAAAAATTATCCGAAGCAACGGGAGGGTTTCGAAAAAGTCCACAGTGTGGGTTTGATTTCATGGGAAACTCAGCAGGTAAAAACATGATTAAATATCTTTTTTTTTTTAAAAGCAGCTCGGCTGTCGTGATGTGCATCACGCATGCGACGAAGAGACAAAACTAGGGTAAAATGCCAAGGTCTCCCAGTGTAGTGTCATCTGGTCGTGAGGGGAAACAAAAAAAACAACTGCTCCTCAAACCAAAATGAGTGTTTCTGTCCCTTTAAAGGAGAATCTGACACTGCGAAAAGCGTTTTCTTTGCTTTAAGGGGCGGAAAAAAGCCTGGCAACTCATCCAAAGGGACCACAGGGACGTGTGGGGCCACCTGACGGGGCGCTGCTGCCTAAACGTTAGCATAAAGAAGCCTGAAAGTGTGTCCTGTTTGCTGGCGAACGCCGGGGCGCTCAGCTCCACCTTTCATTGGGGGCTCAGCCCGGCGTCCGGGGCGTTGCTCTCAGCTGGAGGCCCAAAGCTGGGGCCTGGCTCTGCTGCTTCTGGGAGCAGATGTGCGTCATTTCAGGGGGAGAACCAGCTAAATCAGCTGCTTTCAGGCAAACAAACGCGGTTCAGAGTCAGCTCCCAGACGGGGCTGAAGCTTCCTCTGGACCAGGAGGGAGCCTCTGAAGCAGCAGGCTGATGTTCTGGCTCCAAACCCCCCAAAATGTGCGGCTGTGTCTCTGAAGGCCTGACAACCAGAGGCCTTTGTGTGCATTCTGGGATTTTTATGGACCGTTTTTCCTCCAAATACTGCAGAGTCTGGGGTGTTTGCTGTGTGTGCGTCTGCGGGGGGGGCAGAGGGGAGGGGAGGGTCTCTGGAAAACACTGCTAAAGTGAAACTGAAAACAGCTGGAATCGATAAAATACATTCAGTCTCTTTCACACTACCGGCGGGAGAATCTGTTCTTGAACGCTTTGATAGTTTTGGCCATCATGGGGGCGATTTCTGCAGGGGGGGAGGGCAGAAAGAGGAGAAGTTAGCTTTCAAATGGGCTCTTTAAAATGAGTGGAGAGGATGGAGGCCAGAGCAAAACGGCTGACTTACTTTTTACTTGTGGTTTGTCCCGGGCAGCATGTTGTCCCCCTCCTCCCCCGCCTCCCCCTGCCAGAGCTGATGAGCGAGATGAGCCTGCAGGGGGCGTTAGCTGGGAGGAGGAGCGACTGGACTCTCCAGAGTAATCTGTAGTAGCTGGTCGTATTCTGCAGCAAACAGAGGAAAGAAGAGCCGGTCAGGGGCCTCTTTTAAAGAGCTTAAAATACTTTTCTGTTAAACGCTCTTTTATAAAACATTATTTTATGAAACTCTATTTTAGAAAACCCTATTTTAGAAGGAACTTTTAGACAACACTCTTCTTTAAAACGTTTCATAAAACAGTCTTTTAAAAACGTTATTCTATAAAACGGTGCGCATGATCTAAACTAAAAGTGAACGTGGGGCAAAAAGAAGCAGATGGCTGCCCAGCCGAGGCCCCGCCCACGTTTAGCCAAATATGGTCAAAGCGCCTCGTGAACCTCAGTGCGTCCAAACAAGCCGGCCGGTCGACGTTTTTCCATGGTTACCAACGGTAACCAAGAAAAGAAAAGCGCAAAGACACGAGTTTCACCAGGCGGAGAGTGAGAGAGAAGTCTGATCAGATGAATAAGAAGAAGTGAGTTTTATACGACAAATATAGAACAAGGAGGCAAGATGTTGAGAAATGGCAGAACTCAGCTCTTTTCCTCCTGATGCTCATGTTTTCTTCCCTTTTTCCCTTTTTATTATTCTATTCCTCACATATGTCTATTTTTTTTCTTTAAAAAAGAAACAATAACAAGTAAGTGTTAAAAAAAATCTGAAGAAGTGAGCAGCAACATGTTATTACACATTTTCGGTCGTAGAAAATTATCCCATTAAAGCCTTTAAAATGTTTAAGCCTTTTCATTTAGCTCTGCATGCGCACGGCTAACGACAAAGAGGATGATTAGTGGCTGATATGGAGGTCAATCAAATGTCTGTGAGGAACCCAAAGTCTCTGAGGCACGCCGGGGTCAGAGGTCAGGCCACTGGACGCCTCTTTTTATTTCCAATGCTGCTTTTCGGAGCCAGCTGCCTTGGTTTGGAGGAAATCGAACAGGAAACGGAGCAGAGGAGGAAAACCCAACGCTGCCATTTGAACAAAACACTCAGGAACTCTGCTGGGAACCGGCTCCCGGGGAGCGGCTCCTGGAAAACAGGGGCAGAGACGGCCTGAACTCACTTGATGGGCGAGGCGGCGGGGGGCGTGGCCAAACCGCTGGTGGTGCCGAAGCGCTCCTGCCGGCGCCGCACATCGCGCGGCGGCTTGGCCGCCGAGTTCACGAACGCCATCTTCACCTGCCGGCCTGCCGAGGAGAGGAAGGGTCACAGGTCACATGACGTGTTCAGACTCTGCCCAGCAGCAGCTCTGCTCCGAGTGCTGCGTTCAGGCGCTCCTGGAAAGCTGGGACATCTGGGTTTTTCATGGCCGAGCGTAGCGTCAGATCACTACTTTTGGAGTTATTTAAATGGACAAAGAAGTGACCCGGATCAGGTTTTGTACAGTACTGTCTAATTAAACGGTTTCTAAGAGCGGAAGCATTTATTTAATACTCACCAACTTTTTTCTGTTCTGTTCCACTTATTTGGGTTGTTTTGGGGTTTTTTTGTGTTTGAGGGGCTGAATTTTTTACGGGTGAAAGCCTCTCAAACCATCTATATGAAAACATTTATGTTATGTTAATCAGACTTTTTTCTATCTTCGAAGGCTTAAATGAGGAACGATCAGAGGTTGACGAGTTCATTATGCTGCATGCACAGAAAGATATAACTCTGAAATGCGTCAGCCTCAGATGTCCCAGCTTTCCTCTGGCACCTAAATGCATCACAGGCAGTGAAAGCAGGAGGAGCTGGATGCTGGGGGTGGTGTGGACCTGGGGGGGTTGTGTCCCACCTTTGGGCTTGTTGGCGTGGGCGGAGGTGATGTTCTGGGTCAGCAGCCTCAGCCGCTCCTCGCGCTCGTCGTGCAGCCTCAGGTACATCTCCCTCCACGACTCGTACTCCTGAGGGGACTCGCGCTTGAAGTCGCGCTGGCAGTGACGCATCCACAGCTCGTCCGAGTCCTCTGTGAAACACTGGAGGGGGGGGGGGGGGGGGGGGGGGGCAAAGCGTCAGGCAGGAGCCTCATTTCTGAGGCCAAATATCACCAGATTTACACATGAACTAACGGGGGCCAAGCCCTGATGTTTTCAGAGTAAAGGGGGATAAAGGGTGACCTTTGACCTCGTCACCTGGACAGAGAGTATCAGCAACCCCTCTCGTGGACCAAAGTCCAGAAAAAAATAAAGAAGGCCGAGCCTTCAGGTGTCACTCCCACCCCTCTGTGAAACCAGTCTGGGTTCAGGAAGCAGACCCCCCCCCCCCCACGCCTTTCTGTGGAACGGCCTCGAAATTAACTTGACCACTCTGGACTAAAGAGACTTGTCACTGGATCAGAACAAATTAGAGGCAGAGATGCAACCTTCCCCAAAAAAGATGCTTTCTTTTTGGTGGAAAGCATCTGCTGGTTCTAATGGGGCCCAGTGGGCCGTCTCCGCTTCCTGTCACCACACCGAGCCTCGCAGCCTTTGGGCCGGACCCGGATGCGGAGGCCCGGGTCCGGAGGCCCGGTTCAGGAGGCCCTCACTAACCTGGTTGCTCTGCTCGATCCGGTACAGCTGCTCGGGGGTGCATCTCTCCAGAACCGGCTGCAGGATCTCAAAGGGCACCCCTCCCACTTCGGCGATGGCTGCGGAGACAAAGACGGCTGTGGTCAGCTGGACCTGCAGGGGGCGCCCTGCCAGGGCCCAGCCGGCGGCGGGAGGAGGGATAGGGAGGCTCACAGTCGATGTTGTTCTGCAGCACTCGGATGCACTGGTCGTACAGGCTCATCATCTTGGGCAGGTAGGCGGTCTTGGATCCCGAGTAGACCACCATCTTGGAGTTGAAGCGCTTCCCTGTGAAGCCGGCGTCCTCCTCGTCGTTGTAGACGGGAACTGAAGGCACAGAAAGGAGGAGAAGAAAGAGGTGATAAACACACCAATTTGTTCCACAAGCAAAAAAATGGAAAGAGAAGGAAAACTAAAGGAACATTTATTTATTCATATAGTCACTTTACAGTGTGTCTGTGCTGAAAAAGCCTGTTTGAGTGAATGAGTTTAAAGCTCAGATTTAAAAGCTACCAAAAGGTAATAAGTTCCACTTCGTAGGAGAAATGATCACCTCTCAGTTTAACCCAAAGCAGAACTCTCCAGGTTAATAACAGCCCCTCTGATCCAGTTTAGAACCAGCTAAAAACAGCTTTAAAACCTGGTGCTAAAGTCTCTGAGTGTGTCTGAAGAACTGAACTGATTCCACTTTCTGGCTCTGAGTGAAGCAGAGCAGCTACTGAACAAATCTGTAGGATTTCTGATTTTTTTCCACCGAGAACTTTTTTTATTAAACTGACCTCTGCTTCTGGAAAAAAGGGATTATACATCAGTGAGTTGGTCATGTTGTGGAAAAAGGAGAAAAATAGAAATATTTAGTTATTTTTTCTCCTAAAATGTCCCAAAAACAGCCGAATCTGTAACTCTTTCTGAGCTGAGAACAGAAATCTGCTGAAGTCTGGACCCACTGACACAAACAGGATTAACTGGAGGTCAAATTGATAGAAACGTGGAGTTTTTAGGGCCTTTTAGGGCCTAAATGTCAGGTCTAATAAGGCTCCTGAACCTCAGCCAGCCGACCGCTTTCCTACCTTTGCGCCTCTGGGGGGACAGCGGGGGGGAGGGCAGAGGTCTGTAGTTGGGCTGAATCGCTGGAAGGGGAATTTCCGGAAGAGTCGGGAGAGCTTCCACAACCTGGAATGGAGAGTTGAAGCCAGCAGATGAGGGAAACCAGCCCACTAAAAGCTTTGGAGGCTGCGGCTCGGTGCTGCTCTGGTTCTCACCCGTTTGCGTTTTTCGGGCGTGGGGCCGGCGGTCGATGAGCTGGAGCCCGAGCGAGGCCTCTTGGCGCTCTGAGCCCCGTTGGCTTTGCTGGCTTTGGAGGAGGAGGAGGCGGGCGTGGAGGCGGGGGGCTGGCGGGGTGACGGCGTGGAGGCGGAGTGAGCGGACCGGCCGTGGGGCGCCGGCGCCGGCGTGTTGGGCTTCTTCTTCTTCCTGACCGACGTCGGGGCGTCGTAGGTGAGGAAGGACTCGAAGGACATGGTGGGGGTCTCGAAGTCCTCCTCCTCCTCTTTGGACGGAGAGTCCTTTGGGGCTCGTGGTCGCCCTGGAAACGCAGAGGTTGAAGGTGGATCATCATAGGAAACAAGTCATCAACCTGTAATCTGACCCCATACTGCTCACAGGAACACGATGATTACGAGCTAAATATCCGACTTTCTTTATGTTTTATGAACATCAGAAGCAAAAATCCAACAAAATATTTAAACAAATGACTTTATGCGATGATTGAGCCACTAAGATTGAATAACGAACTCATTTATGCAAAAATAATTGTGCAAAATGCCAAATAAATACATTTTCCTGCTTCAGTTTCAAACTGTTTTGATTTGACTTTGGGTTAAAGTTGTTGTTTATGTAATTTTCCGCTGAGTTTCTCATTTAAATGGAATTTATCTAATTTATTTTCGTTTTGTTTGGTTGATCTTTCCATCCCGTCCAAAGGATTTAACTTTTATCTTGTTTTGATGTCACCATAAATAGAAAATTCAAAACATCTTAAAATGTATTTAACTTAAAGATGTATTTGTAGATTAAAACACCCCCTAGAAATATCTCAATAAATCTAAAGAAATATGAACATTTGCATAAAATTCATCAACTGTAATTTGCTGTTTAAAAAAATTATCAAATCTGCCGCTTGCTGTTTTGTTTTTTATTTAATTTTGGTGGTTTGCATCAAAACTGCTGAGTAAGCCTTTTCAGGCGACTTCCTGTCGGCAGATTCGCTGAACATCGGCGATCAGAACAGGACGTCTCTTTGTCGTGATGCCTTTTGATAGCGATGCTCTGCTTTTTAAACCCCTTTCTGCCCTCTCAGGTCTGTTTGGCTGCTTATAAAGAATCAGGTAGAAAACAGACAGCAAGTATTTGAGTTTCTGCTGCTCAGTGAAGCTGTTTCCAGCTCCTGAACACACGTTTCCACTTCTGTCTGTAATATCTGCTGGAACAGAGCTCATTTAGTGGAAATCAGAGCTGGTTCTGGAGGCAGAAAGCAGAAATTTAACATTTAAACTTCAGATATTCTGATTTATCTTAATTTCTTTTAGTAATTTATCTGATTTTCAAATTCATCGGTAGGATTTTTTATTCTGCTTCTTTGTGGTAAAATGGACATTTTTTCATCCATTTTTTTGTAAAATGAAATGTTTTCAGAGGGATTCTTCATCCAACTCATCATTGAGACCCTTTAAGCCTGATTTTGTCCTCTCAGGTTAAACTGAGTTTATTTTTGGTCTAAATCCAGCTTTTAGTCGACTGGTTTCAGCACATCAGCACAAAGTTTCCTTCATTTCTGGATGCTGGAACAGAGCTCATTTCCAGGAAATGAAGCCTCATTCTGGAGGAAATCCAGCAGAACTCTGAGTTCTCTGGACTCTAGTTTGGATCAGAGGCTCAGATGTTGGTGCGTGACCACAGACATGTTTCTGTCAGTTTAACCAGCAGAGCAGGAAGCATCCAGCTGCTTTTCAGACCCACAGAGGCAGAAAACAGGCGTCAGGACGCATCAAACCAATTCACTTAGAAAAGTTTCTCCCCCTTTCTCTGAAAACCTGCTGATGCCACAGATGTGTGCCCTGCTCCTCACCTTCGTCCGGCCTCTTCTTCTCCTCCCTGGTGGACTTCCTGCTGTGCTTGGCGGCCTTCTGGACCGGGCTCTTCTGCCGTCTCTTTGCGTCGCCGTCCCCCCGCTCGCTGCTGCTCTGGGCGTGGCGTTTCTCCTCCCGGCTCCGCTCGCCCTGGTGGTGGTTCCTGCCCGCCTCCTTGCTGGGCTTGGCGAGGCGGGCCTCCTTTCTAGGGGGAGGCGGCGGCGGGCTGGGTTCGGGTTCGGGTTCGGGTTCGGGCTCAGGGCTCTCGTACTCGTCTGACTGGTAGCGGCCTCTCTGGGGGGGGCTGTACTGCTCCTGCGGGGGGGGCGATGGGGAGTAGTTGGTGTGGTAGCCTCTCTCCTCCTCCTCTTCCTCCTCCTCCTCTTCCTCCATGTAGGGCGGCTCCTCCTCCGGCGAGGGCTCTCGGGGGCGCCGGTGGCTGTCTGTGGCGCCGCCATCTTGCCCCCGAGGCGGCATATGTGAGCGGGAAGCGTCTTTGGGGAGGCTGTTGGGTCTGAGGGGGACGCACAGGACAGAGAAGCTGACAGACCAATCACATCACTTCAAACTGCTCATGAGCTCCAATCATCCTCCAGTTCTTAAAGATGCTAAACATTCTGGCTTTGGCGCTCCTGTGTTTGGGGGGGCGATGGGAAACCTTCCAGAAGCCTCTCTAACCAGTTAAACGGGTGAGTTAAAACAAATTAAAGCCTCCTCGTTATCACACGTCTCACACGTTGCCTTTAAGGGCGGTTGGAAATCTCTGAATGCGCCATACACACTAAGTTTCCTGTCATGGATCCCAAACCTTTTGGATAAAAAACACACTTTTGACCTTTTTCAGCACAAAGGTCAGTTTTTTAGCTATTTTATCTGGAATTATCAGAAAAATCCAACAGATTTATGTCTATTACAAAGAATTTATCTGGTAATTCCACTTTTATCCATCGTGTTCAACTTTGAATGCATTTTTTAAACATCATAGCTAAAAAACAAATAAAGAAAGAGAAAGCAGAGGTTTCTTCTAAGGCTATCTGATGGAGAAAACTGAATTCTGCTGGTTTTCAGAAAGCAGGTGTTCAGACTCTACCTGTCGGAGGATTGAGGAACCAGCTTCTTCCATTTGGCCACCAGCGTTTTGGCCAGCTCTCCCACTACGTCATGCTTCCTGAAAGAGTTCACAGTTTTCCCCACTCCGGTTTCCTGCGGGAGAAGCCACAAAAACTGGACTGAGGTACAGATTGGGCATTGGCTGAGGCAGAAATCCGGTCCAGGGTTCTCACATCCAGCCTCTCAGAAGCAGAGAGCCATGTGATTGGCTGGAAACGGGCTCAGAAATCCCAGTTCAAAACAGCTCTTACCACCAGTATGTCCACTGTCATGGGCAGCTCCCCGAGTCTTTTCAGAGTCTTCAGCAGCTGGAAACCAAACACACAGAGCATGAGCAGGAAATCGGGACTCATGTGGACCAGAGACTCAGACTCCCATGATGCCTCAGTAACGATCTGATCAAACACCACAGTAAAAACAACTAGAAGACAAATATGAACACGTTTACATGTTCCCCTCCATCCTGAGGACTCGGATTAAAGCAGGAAAAAGCAGCGACCTGTTTAAATCTGGAAAAGGTTAAAAAATGGAAGGCCTGGTAAAGAACTGGAGAATTAAGACTTCTGCCATCAAGCTTTGGAGATGAGCTGAGTCAGCCATCTGTCGTGCTCTTTCCCCGTGAATTAGAACAGTTTGTGCTGCTTTGTTTGGACGAAGGATGTTTTTCCTGAATGAGCAGGATCAGGGAGGAGGACAGTTTGCACGGAGCAGGCTGCTGCTTTTTCTGCTGATCGTTTTTCACGAAAACCTTCTCAGCTCAGCCCGTTTCGCTGCTCATTACTGTTGCAGATGTGTTCACTGGGCCAAAAACAGTAGTTTCTGTTTGCTCTATCAATAAAACTTATTCTATTAAGTGGGTTTCTATCAGGAACTGGCTGTTTTGGAGGATCACATTCAAACAGCAGCGGAGGGCCTCAAACAGCGTGATAAAACCTGGCAAAAGTGTAAAAAGACTAAGCCATGACAACAGGATGGAAGGTAGCAGCTCAGTCTAAGTGACTGTATGAGCTTTAAGTGTTGTAACAAATCTAAATGCTCAGATTCATTCATTCCCTGCAAGCAGCAGCTTCCTGGCCCACAGACGCTGCTCTTTAACCCCCGAGGTGTCGTGTTTCTGCAGTTTTTAATGAAACTGGGACTCCCGGGAGCCTGAGAGTGGCTCCTTTCCACCTAACCCCCCCCGTAACATCAGCACCGCTTTGTTCCACATCAGCAGCGAACAAAGGCGAGCTCGCACACCGGCCACCGGCCACTGTCCCCGGCCACCCACCACCGGCCACCACGTTTCTGGGCCGTGGGCCGGGCTCTGCTGGCCGGCGGTGTAACGTTACAGGCCCGCGGCCGCTGCTCCGTCACTTCTCTCGGCGCTGACGGAGGTTAGCTGGACGGCTAACGGGGGTTAGCCAGACGGCTAACGGCTATCGGGGTCTCAGAGTTCGCCCAAAATACGCCAGGCGCCCCGTTTGTTTCCCACCCTCACGCAGGGGGCCTGGGAAACCTCCAGGCAGCCCCCCTAACCAGCTGACACGCACTGGTTTTGGGGTACAGACGAGTTAAACTGGTTAGTTAGAACAAGTTAAAGCCTCCTAATTGTCATGACGTATCACGCGATGCCTTTAGGGGGCGTCGGAAATATCAGAGTGCTCCATACGAACGATTTTTACCTGTCAATGATCCACTTTCGACCACTTAAAATGAGAGAGTAACAATTCAGAAAGTTTCCTCACAGATTTCTTAGTTAAATCAAGTTTGAAAACACCTTAAATGTCGCTCTCAAGCATCTGGACATTCTTGAGGTATTCTAGTGTTCCCGAGAAGTATTTATTACAGCTTTCTTAAGCTCTTTTTAAGTTTTCAGCTCTATCTCTCATTTTCAGTCCTTGTAGCAGAGCATTTTTGGAGGAATGTGGGGTTTTTTCAGCCACTTAACTCTTAATAACACGTTGTTTAAACGTTACAACAATCATGGCTTAAGATGAAAAGATAAACTTTTTTAAAGGAAAATATTACGTGTAATATCCAACAATGGACAAAGAACATATTATATTTACACTGCATGCTCTTTTTACTCAGATTTACCTCACAATTGATGATTTGTGGCCATTCATTTTATATTATCTTTGTTCATGATTATAATGAACCATTTCTTCTTTATTACCTTAGTATTTAAGTCAATCTCAATGTATTTTAACAGTTGTTGTTTACATCTCGTGCTTTTTATTCTATACCTAAATTCTAACTTTGTCTAAAGACATGGTTGTCAGTCTTGAGGCCTGAAACACAACTAAACACAAAAAAATCCAAGTGAAACACATGTTAGATTGGGTAAATAGCCTCTTTGTAAGAGATTGAAGGGTTTAATAACGTAACTATATTATACTCAACAATCCTCAACTTATTATGTTTATTAATCCGCTTTTCAATTATTTTCAATAAGTCATATTTACTAAACAGAGCACTGAACATGAGTTATAACAGTGTTATTACCTAATAATGTACTCACTGTAACTGATCAAGTGTGTTTGTGTTTAGATAAAGGTTAGTTTACTCCTTAGACACAGCCTTCCCTAATCAAATGACAAGAAAATCGAGTCATAAATTATAAAATCATTTATGATATTGAGGATCAGAAGCACTGTGTTCCATAACACTACGGCCCCATAATAGTCTCGTGTTTTCACTGTGTATGTCAGGTGTTAATCGTGTGTGACTAATAACTGAATGCAGATGTGCAACATTCCTGTGTAATTCTGCTGCTTCACAGTAAAAAAAAAAAAAAATTAACAAAAAAGAAGGCACTCAGAGGACGGAGCCAGAGTGCGGCCCCTGAAGGCAGCATTTAAAAACCGTTGAGACTCTCAAAGAGCTCCGGATTTGACATATTTCTCGACTCCGCTCGTGATTCACGACGTTGTCGGTGCGAAACGTCAAATCTGCCCGTGCGGACCGGAGGACTCGTTACCTTTCGAGGCTCCGGATTGTCCAGAATCCGGGACTGAAGTCTCTCCACTGTTTCCAGCAGTTCCTCCGCCATGTTTACTGCTGGTACCCTGTCCCCGGAAACGGATTCACGATGGGGACGGAGTGGAGAGACGCGACGCAGAACGAGTTCCGCCTCCTCCTCAGACCCACAACACCAAAGAATAAAAGCGTCTGAAACCAGGAGAGGACCCACTTTAAATCGACCGACGACATTTTCGGCTCTGCTGCTCCGTGGGGTCGTTTTCGAGCCCCCAGTTCCTCTAGAAACGCTCTTATTTCGCCGGTATTTTCCAGTAAACTTTGGTTGTGGTGAATTTTAGTTCCCCCATAACCAGCCAGCTCCTCTCAGAGAGCACATAACAGAAACACTGGAAATCACAACATAAACTTAAGACAAGAAAATTTCTATGCCTTCACTTGGTTTGTTTTCCAGATTCAGAGAAGCTGAAGTGGCTGTTTGTTAAATAATAATAATAATAATAATAATAATAATAATACAATTATGACCACTTTCAGATAAGATGTAACGCTTTATTTACTATAGCAACTCAAATATGAATAAGACCACAAAAAAAGTTAAACATTGTGAGACTTCAAGAATCTCCAGTAATTCAGCAGTAGAAGGGGTAGAAGCAGTATAAGGGACTATAAAAGTGAACAAAAGTAATAACAAAATGTCCAATTGTACCCCAGAAACAAAGAGTTCATGTTAGGATTTATGGGTTTTTCTTTTTTTTTCATCCTCTGCTCTCAGTTTCTGTATCAGGACATTTTAGTATCAATTTATGATCGAGGACAGAGTGGAAAACAGCTCAAGAAAAATAGATTATGAATCAGGGATGCTGATTTTGCCATCAGCCGTTTGTTATCCTGTGTTGAGACCTGTCTATACGTTGTCCAGAGCTGCTTCAGATCCTTTTACCCTAAAAAGTCAAAGCAAAAACAAACAAACAAAAACACCTTCATTTTCTTTGCATTACCAACTGACCAAAGCTCAGATTTAGATGAGAGGTCAGAATAGGAAAACAGATATTCAAGAGAGGAAAATCTGATGCCCCAGAGGCGGGGGGGGGGGTTCTGGGAGGGGAGCTGGGGCTATTCTGGGGTACTCTTGGCGGGGAGGGCGGCGTGGAGAGTCTCTATTAGGAAAAAGGGACGAGGAGGGCCTGGCTGAGGAGGAACCCGTCGTCACGGTTTCGTTTGGGATCCTGATACTGACGCACAAAGAAAACACAGACACACAAGCACACAGCACTCCAGCAGACGGACAAAAGGACGACACTAAGAGGAACCTGTGAGAAAACACCAACGGAGAAGACGAAGGGAGACGCTGAAAAGGAAAGAAAAGGAAGTGAAGAGCAGCAGGAGTCAAGTGGGAGAAAGAGGTAAAACGCATTTAACCAACTTTGTGACTTCCTGTTTGGCGCCTTCAGCTTCAACACTGAGGCACAAAACGCGAAAACGAGCAGAATCTATCCAAAGGTTTGTGATTCAGCTGCTGATGGAAACAATGTGAGGCAGCTGGCAGCTGCTGCTGGGATATTACTGTACAGCAGAGGGTGTCGGGCCTCAGGCCGGCACACACAAACACACACAGTGTGCAGGTCAGCAGCTATAAATACCCCCAGGAGATAAGTTCAGCCTCAGCTGAAAGCAACAGAAAAACGTGGGCTTCTTCAGCTCTGCGAGCCTTGATCCACTCCTCTGTTCTCTGGGTGTCCAGACTTTCATTCCACCTCCCAGACTGGTTTTGAGCTGCAGCTTTCAGTGCTTTTGTTTTTTTTTTATTGGCTTTATTTCATCAGTAATACAGAACCAGAGCACATCTCTGGTCTCTTTGTTGAGGATAAACCAGGTCAGACACCAAAAACTCAATTATGGTCCAAAAAGGGTGTGCGTTTTCCACAAATTTTCTGTCCAGAACTTCTACCCTGCACATTTGTGGGCTCATAACTACACAAAAAAGAGGGTGGTTAATACTGTTTAATAAAAATGGATCTGATCTGTCTCCTCATGGGAAAGTTTTTAAGCTAATTTGTTTTTTTCGCCTAAAGTTTGTTTTCCCATCATCTTTAAAACAGTTTAACTCCATAAACACCATCATCTGTCTGTGACCCAGCCTCCAGGCCTGATGTTCCAGATGATGCCTGAGTAACCAGGATGGTAAACAATGAAGGACCTCTTGGTTTTTTAGCTTCTCTTGGTGACATTTCCTTGTCTCAAGACATCAGAAGCTCAGTTTCTTATTTTCAGAAAGCAGAATAGTGAATTTAGATCCAGTCTGATGTGGTTGGGGTTTCTTCAAGGATCTGGTTCTGATGGAGGTTTCTTCTGGTTGATGGAGGTTTCTTCTGGTTCTGGTTCTGATTGAGGTTTTTCTGGTTCTGGTTCTGATAGAAGTTTCTTTCTGGTTCTGATGGAGGTTTCTTTCTGGTTCTGGTTGTGATGGAGGGTGAACCTATTGTGAATTTGTATTAATTTAAACTTTATTTACTTGTCATCCACGTCTCCACTTTGAAATTAGTTTCCATGGTAACTAAATGGATGGGTTATCATCGTATCAGGATGAAAAGTTTCTTTAAAGTGACCTCAGATGAAATTTGCTGATTTTTTTTGTTCTCAATCAAACTGAACTTAACTTCAACTTCAGAGCAGGATTTTCACAGCTTCTGTTTTCCAGATTTAAACATTAATTGGTGTGATTTAAACCCATAACAGAGACTGAAGGGGGTAAAAATACAAATACGCTAAATTAAAAATCCTTGCTACAATCCCGAGAAAACGCTCTCGTTCAGGTGTCGGCTGGAATCTGGGTCAGATGACAAATTTATGTGGGCTGTAACTTTGAACTGCTGGAGTTCAGTTACAGTTCGAACGCAGTTAGGCTCCAGTTTCTCATATGAGGATAACTCCCCTCTACCTAAGTCCCTCCTGTGTAAAATCGGACTGTTTTCTACATGATTTCCTGGTTTTATATGAATGTTGTGTCATTTAAACGTGGTTTTCTTCAGCGGGAATCTTCAGAGCTGTTGTTTTGACAGTGAAAGAAACGTCATTGAAGGTGATGATGGTGGTGGTGGGGGGGGGGGTTTGACGTCTGCTTCCCAGTTTAGGGGGCGTGGGGGATGGAGCAGCTGCTCTTCTTCAAGCTGACCTTGGTACCAAATAGTTCTGACAGCTGATCAGTGACGAGCAGAGCTTATTTTCACGCCACTGAATCGCTCGGTTTCCAGGTTTGTTTGAAACATGATGCGAATCCCTGTCCTAGTTATCAATACAGGCATCCGGGTTCTTGTCAAAGGCTAAAAGAAATGCCCTGGAGGTGTCGAGTCATCTGTTTCTACTCAGGCAAAATGTGTCACTGATTCTTTGACTGCTTCCTTTATCAATATGAGACAACCAACCTGAGCCAATAAATCGGGTGAGACTCATGTTTGACTGTTAACTGTTTAACACCAGAAAAACCTTAAACTTAAAGAAAAAACATACACAAAAACTTTATTGTGATGCAATTTTAACATGTAGCTATTTGACACTTTATGCAAATGAACCAAAAAAATGAAACAGGTGTTTAGTTTTAAGCATTATAGTAATTAAAAAATGTAAAAACTAACATATAGCTCTGCAAAAAAAAGCCCTAACTCTACTGAATTTAGTCATGCTTTGATTTTATTGTGAAAAATAGAACTTAAATGTATCTTTTGTAACAAGAGGAAGCCCTATTTGGATATAACTAACTGAATGTGGACCAATTGTGGGGTTTCAGGCTCTTGGCTTTGTTTTTAATGTCATCTTTTTCTTGACGTAGCGCTCTGCAAAGCTAGCATCACATGTAGTGTAACTGACTATTTGTTAATTGCCTTTTTGGGCCAACATTGTCATCTTCCTCAGAATTAAATGCAAACATTTTCAGCTTTTTGAGAATCTACGGAAAAATTTCCCTCGGTTTGTGAATTGTGCTAACTAGCATGCTAACTCTAGCATGCTAACGCCAGCATAACAAACCAGATTGAAGTTCTTCTTTTTGTTTGCTTATAAAACAAAATTACAAGATTACGAGATTACCTTTTTGATTGACTTTAAACAAATATAAATGCACACGTTTCTACCGTTCATAAGCACATTTTTTACCATAACAAACTTTAGATTCAGCTTTGTGAAGGTCAAAAACTTTGAGTGAAACAAAACTGGAACACTAATTGTGTTTTCATTTGATTGCAAAGACTGCTTTTAACCGAGAGCAAATAAACAAGCAAAATTTGCTCCAACTTTGTGTTCTTTTTCTCATGTTTCAATGGACATGAGACAGAGTTTGATACCATGGGTTTATGCATCCGAGGCTGCTGGATGTGTCTGTTTCCACTGTTTATGACGGGATTGCAACACACCTCTTAGCTGCCTGTACTGGCGAGCCTCTCTTCTCCATGTGACACCAACAACAGCTGCAGGGCCGTCCCGTTCTGTCCTGCCTCTGAGCTTCTGTCCATGTGTGGAGCACCGGCCAGCCAGCCAGCGCGTGCTATTTAAAGGCGAATAGAAGGAGGATGAATCATATACATACATCCAAGGCCATGATGGCCCACCGTTGTGATGTTTGAGCTGCTGGCATGGTCTTTCTGTGAGGGAATAAGAGTGCACCCGATCCTGCAGGGGCTGTTTTGATTGCACTGAGGGGTTTGACAGATTCGGGTTTCAGATGCAGGGAAACGGTGCAAAGGCTGCTTAGGGCCCACCACCATTAAAGGGCCCCAAGAGGGATTTAAAAACATTATTTTATTCCTTTTTATTATCCAAATTGGAGTTTGATGTGATATTTTTATGGCATCAAACTTAAAGTAGCAGACAGTGCACAGTTGGAGGCTGAACTCGATAGAAATATTGGGGTTTTAGGGGGGCATTTGAGCTCATTTTGAGGGGCTGAAACCTCTCTGACACAGGCCTTTTGAGGATGCAAAAACCAGAGGTCTGTTTTTACAGAGAAAACATCTCAGAAGGTCTCAGAGAAAAGCTACTCTCTCGGGAGACAAAAAGTCTTTTTTTTCTGTTTCCCTTCAGGTGCTGTGTGCTGTGTTAAAGTGAAACCACCAACTAAAAGCGTGTCTTCACACACTGACCACAAAGCCA